AAATTTTCATGATGAAGGAAAGCATAGAGTTTGCTAAAAAGGAGGAATGGAGGGGTTTTTACTTATGCTAATTACAGAAGCAAATGTAAGTTGACAAACTAGGCAAAAATACAGTGAGGGGAAAGTTCTGAGAAGATTGTGTGATGAAGCTGCTGATAGTCCAGTGGGACACATAAATCTGTTTACTTATAATACAACAAGAGCCAGCAATATTGACAGAATTAAAGATTAGTTGTTTCCTATGCTGTGCTTCAAAGTTTGGGCAACTTCTAGGTAAGGAAAGGCATGGAAACCTGTGTGGTTTAGGTTTTATTTTGTGGGTTTATTGTTTTTTTTTCCCTTTGTGGGAGAGGAGTTTGGACACTGGAAAGATGGTTAATGAATAATGAACTTAAAATGCTTCAAATAAAAGTTCACATAAACAATATTTTTACATTTACATTTTATTTTTTTTTACTTTTATTTTTTCTTCTGAACTAAATGAGCAGAGAAATCTAAGATAGTTGACTAAATCAGAAGACTGATGCAATATGAAATTTTTTCAGGAATACTTCATAATTGAGCGGATCCTAAAATTAAACTTCTCAAACAATGTTTTCTTTATGAACAAGCAGTTTTGCTTATAGTGTGTCTGTAGTTTCTCTTAGAAACAAAGTAGGAACTCTAATGTCATTTGTTGATCAGCATGAGGATAGGGAGGCTCTACAGAGAGACTTGGATAGATTGGATCGTTGGGCTAATGTTAATTGTCTGGGCTTCAACAAGGCCAAGTGCCGGGTCCTGCACTTGGGCCACAACAACCCCATGCAAGGCTACAGGCCTGGGGAAGTGTGGCTGGAAAGCTGTCTGGCAGAAAAGGACTTGGGGGTTCTAATTGACAAGCAGCTGAATATGAGCCAGCAGTGTGGCCAGGTGGCCAAGAAAGCCAGTGGCATCCTGGCTTGTATTAGAAATAGTGTGACCAGCAGAAGCAGAGAGGTGATGGTTCCCCTGTACTCAGCACTGGTGAGGCCACACCTGGAGTGTTGTGTCCAGTTTTGGGCACCTCAACTCGAGAGATATTGAGGTGCTGGAGCCGAGTACAGAGGAGAGCAACGAAGCTGGTGAAGGGCCTAGAGAATCAATCTTATGAAGAAAGCTTGAAGGAGCTGGGAATGTTTAGTTTGGGCAGGAGAAGGCTGAGGGGAGACCTCATCAGTCTCTACAACTACCTGAAAGGTCATTGTAGAGAGGTTGGTGCTGGTTTCTTCTTACAGGTAATAAGCAACAGAACAAGAGGGAATGGCTTCAAGTTGTAACAGGGGAGGTTCAGACTGGACATTAGGAAAAAAAAATCACAGAAAGAGTGGTCAGACACTGGAATAGGCTGCCCAGGGAGGTGGTTGAGTCAGCATCCCTGGATTTGTTTAAGAGTCATTTGGATGTGGTGTTGGTGGATATGGCTTAGGGGAGAACTTTGTAGAGCAAGGATGATGATTGGACTCGGTGATCCCAAGGGTCTTTTCCAACCTGAATAGTTCTATGATATATCTTTCTTAGAATGTCCCATTGCAGGAAGAATCCCTGATACTAGTATTAATAATGTATCTGTTGTGTTTTCTATTAGACTGCAGCCTTATGCCCTCAAGTGTTTCTCTATCTCTTGGTCTTGCCATCGGTATTCCCTTGTGCCACAGGCCTAGAAGCACAGGCAGTCTTTTAAAAGCTCTAGTGTCAGAGGCAGATTGGAAAGCACGCAAATTGCCAAGTCCGTAATTTTCTTCTCTTATTTTGAGGTAAGTCCCTGTTTCAACAGCATCAATCAAAAAAGGGACTAAGCACATTAAATACAGCATTGCTTCCATGGAAAAACTGCTCATTGGCATTCATTGCAAATAAGTAAAATGTAAGGCTCTTTTTCTCCAAGCATTAGGCTTACTGCTAACCACAGTGTAACTCATAGCATACACTGGAAACTTAGCAGATGCAGCTGAATGAGTAATATTCAGTTGTCCAGACAGAATTATTATTTTAAAAAATAAACTACATGTTTTCTTATTCAACACTCTTAGAAGTTAAACATACAGTGATATACTGCGGGATTGTAAGTGCATAGGAAACAAATGTCTGGAGTGAAGTTGAGTATGTATTTTTTTCATGTGGATTTGTGTTGCAAGTCTTCAGTAAACTCCCTGGATTCCTCAGCTACAATACTGCTAGCTTGTACTTTCATGCTCTTAGCTCCCTTCAAAAATCTCTCTTCCCAGCTACAGTCCTGGCAGGATGCCGTACCTGATAGTGCTAATTCTGTGCAGGCAGAGGAGAGGGAATACTTAACTGCTGAGTTTTCACTGCAGTCTCTCCCCCATGGAGAGTTGTTTGGATGTTTGTTCTATTGGTCCCCAGCTTCTGTGAAACTTGTTGAACTTGAGACCTGTGAGAGACCTCTTTCAAAGAAAAAAGTTAAAGGACAATCCCTAAGGTACATGATGGGGCAGGTGGACACAGAAGGTAATTTCAGAACATAGTTTTCCATAGAAAATCAGGGTAATACTTCTATTGAGAGAGGGGTAACTGCAAGGATAATTTTTAAGGCTTTGTTGTGTTTGGGATATGTATGCCTGTGTTTGTTGTTTTGTTGGTTGTTTTTTGTTAAGACCACCTTTATTGATTATTTTTTAAATTTTTTTGTTTCTTTTTATATTTTTCTGTAACTTGTAGTGAACTAGTTTACTGGAGATTCTCTGCTTTTTAATGAGGAAATTTATTATTTAATCTAGATACATGTCATAACTGATAAAGGACTTTTGGTATCAACACTTGGTCCTTCTCCTGACTTTGGTTCATCCAAGATGCAGGACCTGGAGCTTTTAGCAATGTTATTTTTAATTCATAGCTCATGTAAAGTCACTATAGCAACATGCCAAAAATATGTGAGACTTAGTAGAAAAGCTAGCTCTTGCTAGCAGCAGCTCTTGGCTGCTGGTAGGTACACAGTTGAGGAATTAATGAAGGCAAAATCCTTACTGTTCTTCTGCATAACTCTGTGCCAATGTTTGACTTGCCAGTTGGCCTTGCAGAATACTTTTGGAAATTGTTTTTTGCAATGGCATACTTAGGAATTACTCAGAAACACTTCCGAATATTTACCTCTTCCCACCTGGTTCATCGGTTCAGTTTAAGCTATCAGTAGCTGAACTGTTACATTGTTTTATACTTGTATTTTCAAGTCCTGATTGCTGATTTCTGAGTCATAACAGCAGAACTGTGCTTTCTGGGAGGCATTTAAGTCATTCAGGTTTGTGACCTTATGGTAGTTTGGATGCTGGCATTTTCTTTCCTGAAAGTAGAACGATATCATTTCTTCTTTTATGGGCCTGTGTTTTCAAATAATGTTAAATATCAGTGATTCTGTCTGAGCAGTCTGTTTTCCTGATTGTGTGAAGTACTGCTTTGTGTGAACTGTTTAATGTTTGCTGGTCTGCACTTCTATTCTAGTAGATTAGGACCAGGGGTGACATTTATTTTAGAAGATAGTAAAAACTGAGCACTCAAAAATAATGTAGCACATTCTGATTTCAAATTTCTCCCTTCTGTACATTTCTGGAAATTTCATGCAATTAATAATTGACTCCTAGTATCTCCCAGGTAATTTTTATCAATTGCAAATATTAGTTAATTTAAGAGATGATTCAATGCTTAAAATATTTCTGCTTCTTGTGATCTTTTACCCATTTCGATTTTTCGGTTCCTTTTGTACGTATTTGTCCCAGCCAACATCCTTTTTTTTTTTTCTTGGCTGAACTATTGCTGCGCTACTCTATATTTTTCTCTGAAAGTTGACTACTTAATGGACTAATAAAACATGAGGAATCTGATACCTTTGTATACAAAATTGTTACATTCAAAACAGATTTAATATGCAGACTCAGATATTTTTTTTTTCCCCTGAAATAAGGAAGTGTAAGAATTCAAGTAGTTGACACCACACATTTACACTTTTTCTTATGTACATTTCCCCTCTTGTTATCACAGTTATTTGTATAGGAAGAGTAGAAATATAACCAATATTTTTTACTTGTAAGGACACTCAGTGGGTCTGTAGGGTTATCATTTGACTTTCAGGCCAATAAATGGGAACTTGACTGTGTTGTAGAGGTGTCAGTACTGAGCTGGCCCTGTCTCAGCATTACCAGACTGTTAATCTTCATAGAAAACAGAGATACTTGCATTAAAACAATACTGTTCAGCAAGGATATTAAAAAGAGAATTACTGGATGATAAAGAAGCAGTGGAGGGAGGTCACTGGCTTATGACCTCTTTGTTAGTATCTATGTTATACTTTGGGATATGATGCCAGTATCTTAGAGCTTGCTTTAAACAGGACTGCTGAAACTACTAAAAACAAAACGCCTAAACCAAATATACAGACTAGAAAAACCACTGTTGTGGATATCTTGAGTAGAGATCCACAGGTAGGATAAC